TCACTCTATTTCCACAACAGCTTTACAAACTTGGTGGTGGCTTTCTTTGTGTTTTTGTGCACAGACCTGAAAGACCTAATATTATAAAAACATAGCTATTTTCATTATTTAGTAGCATATGGGAAACATGCCGGTTGGCTTTAATTTAAAGTTCTCTGTTACAGTTTATGCCATCTGTGGATGCAAACTCTGAAAGCCACCTTGGTCTCATCTCTGTACACCTACTGATCAAGAGGTCAGCAACACCTTTAACTGTGAGTTTACACAAGTTTTCTTTATCAGCATATCTGGAGTCCAATTGCCATTTTTATACCCTAGTCAAGGTGCCATGACTTGTTACAAGAACAAAGAAATCAGCTCCCATGCTTTGTTTCTTCTCACTCCAGTGTGTTTACTTTGTACACAATGGAAGTGATATTTCCTAGTTTACACTTTTGCACTTGCCGTTCTATTCAAACACTGTTATCTACAAAGCAAATGGCTAGAGATCACAAAAACATTCTTCCAGACACATTTGGAACGAATAATACCCTTAATCTTTATCTTTAATCAAAGACATTCAGATCATGGGATTCTAAACACCAAAATTAAATTTAAAAATTAAAACCATACAAGACTTGGTCATCTGCCTTGTGCGGATCCATACACCTTCAAATGCTGTCTGGAGAGTCTAGTACACTCATCATCTAGTTAGATGAAGCATATTTTCTTTGTTGAGTAAGAAAATGGACACACGTTAAATTCCATTTCAAGTTAATTCTCTGAAAACGCCATGCCAGGCTAATCAAGAAGGTAAGCTTAGTCACCTTCCTGAGGACAAGACAGACCATGGTGGGAGCCACTAGACCTCTGCTGTCACAGCAGGGGTGCCATAAAAACATCCTCCTGAGAAGGCTAACAACAAGCTCTCACATCAGAGAGAATAATATTAACAACCATGGGGGATGCCATAATGGAGAGTAAGAAAATATAACTGCATCTGATTAGGAGAAACACCAGTGGGAGGATCATGGTAGAGCAGGCATGCTACCGTACAGGTGACAGGAACATTGTAGAGCAGGGATGGCTCACAGAACAGGCATGCTACCGTACAGGTGACAGGAACATTGTAGGACGGGCATGAGCTGTGGGACTGATGGCTCACAGAGCAGGCATGCTATAGTAGCCAAGGAGATAAGTACAAAATGAGGAGAAAGCATTTGAATTATTTTATAAATTTTCTCCAGTAAGCTTACAAGCCTGTAGTAGTGAAACGAACATGTGAATTTAAAATATGTAAACATATATAACACATGTACACAATGTATGCACATACAGCACACACATACTAATGTGCTTGGATAGAAGCAGAAGGATTATATCATGAACCTTCTAGGAGGAATAAAATAATATCAAATGTTACCATTTGAGCTATTTTTGTCTTTTCCTCTATGCAGGCTTAAATGGTTATTTTAGATATGTCTCACAGATTCCATGGAGAACCCCACAAAACACTGCCGAGGAAGATTTCAAAAGCAGAAAAAAAAAATCGGGAAGAAAATCACATCCATAAACGTTTCAAGAGAAAAATAAAATAGCAAGGCATAGATACAGCCAAGAGGGAAGAACTCTAAAATGGGGACTGAGAGACTGAAGGAAGAATGGAGGAGGGCACTGGAGGAAGCAGAGTGCCCCAAAGGTCCAGGATCAGCAGAACTAATACTGTTTAAACGGCAATGTTACTGAGACTGAAAGTGTCTGACAAGTTGAAGGCAATGCTGATGAAAACTTGATGCCAAAACTAGGAGAAAATGCTCCAATTAACATACAAGGATGGGTAATTCTAAATAGCTCACACAATACGGAGCAAAAGAAGAAATAACTGAAGATAAACAAACCTTATTCAAACTATTCTGCATAACTATATTAATGAAATCAGCACAGCACTGGCACCAAAACAGGACAGTGGAACAACGGAAGGGAAATGAAGGCCTGAAAATAAATCCATGCAGTGACAAGCAGTTTGTTTCCAATAAAGGTATCAAAAAGTACACATTACAGAAAAATCAGTCTTTTCGAACCTTGTGCTGAGAAAAACAGATATTAGCATGAACAAGAACAAGGCTAGGTACCTTCTCTAGCCCTATACAAAGTTATCCAAATGGAACAATAAGCTTAATGTAAGACCTAATGCTTCAAACCTGTCATGTGAAAACATTTCAAGACAGATTCTTGACAACTGCATGAAATAGAAGTGTTTCTGTTAGCAAAGAAAGCAATGAACAGGGAGATAAGATACCTGACAGAGTGGTTGCACAAGTTTGCATTCCCACCAGCAATGGATGAGTGTACCCCTTTCTCCACAACCTCTCCAGCAAAGGCTATCATTGGTGTTTTTGATTTTCGCCATTCTGACAGGTGTAAGATGGTATCTTAAAGTTGTCTTGATTTGCATTTCCCTGATCGCTAAGGAAGTTGA